ATATATATATATATATATATATATATATATATATATATATATATATATATATATATATATATATATACAGTTACAATCTCCTACTGCTTTCTGGAGCACCTCTGCTGTCTTCCCTGCTCTTTATTGGAAAAACGGAGTCCTTAGTTACAATAGATCATGATGTAACTAAGCAAGTTGCACATCTATTGACTTAAAATTGGGTTAGTGCTCAGGGTTAATGTTCAAGGGCTGGTTTGGGATTGGGCGATGGAGTGAATGAATGACTTAAAATGGCAGAAATAACAGAATATGGCAATAACTGTATATCATACTAATGAAGATGGGAAAGAACAACACATATGAACCATAACTTAACCCTAAAGATCATGACAGCTTTGCTTTTTGTCTTAAAATCAGATAAAGTTTGCCACATAGAATTACACCTGATGGGTTATCTCATGAGCTATTTCTTCTTGTTTTGAACCTTCTTTAGGCATCGTTGTGGTTGGGGTAATCATGGGCTCCAAGCGAATCGGTATCAATCCTGATAACGTGGCCACTCCCTTGGCAGGCAGTTTTGGCGATCTCATCACGCTTGCTCTGTTGGCATCCTTCAGTCAATGGTTCTACTCCATTATGGGTGAGGGGAAAGAGAAAACCTTGGTCTAAAGCAGGGGACTTTAATTCCAGTCCTTAAGGTCTGGTGTCCTGCACCTTTAAGATATGCCATACCCCACCTTACATCAAATCACAAAACCACGCCCAAATTCCAAAGTGACAGCTGAAAGTCCCGCCCAACTGATAAATATATTAATAAAAAAAATTATTAAAAAAATCAAAATTAATAATAATTAATAAAAAATTTATAAAAAATAATGAATTATTTTGATTTTAATAATAACATGTAGGATTATTAAATTATTATTTTAAATTATTTGTATTTATTTATTATATAAAAATTGTTAACACTCCATTTCAACCTCTGCCTGGAGCAGCTCTCTCAAATAATTTAATAATTATAACCATTATTATTCAAATAACATTAATATTATTAATTATTATTTAAAAAATTATCAATTTTTTTATTAATGTTTTGATACATTCTTTATTAAAAGGGGAGGGACATCCGGCTTTCACTTTTGTGATTTGATGTAAGCTGGGGTATAATTTTTTTTACAGGATACAGTCATATTCTCTGGAATACTCCTAAGGACTGCATAATTTGAATGAAGCAGAAACACATCTAAAAGGTGTAGGACATCAGAAGTCAAGGACTTGAAATGAAGAACCCTTATCTAAATGTTTAAACTGTACAAGCAAAAGTAGAGGATTATACACATATACACACAAAAATAAGTTTTTGGCAGATTATGGTAACTTTCAACCCTTTTAACATAATCTAAGCACTGAAAGAACAATGGAAATGGTAATGATGATAATGGTAATTTTTTTGGCAGATTTTTATCCCCATGTGTTATACCTGATGGATCTTCTGTATATGAGTCTGATACCTGTTTGGATGATGATCTCTTCAAAACACCCTGCCAGTCAGATCTTGCTTCGTACAGGCTGGGAACCACTCATTACAGCAATGGTTATCAGCAGGTACTCATTTCTACCGTTTACGCGGTTCATAATTTAGAAATCTTTATTTTTTGCTTGTATGTTTGGGGACTTTGCAACATTAAAATGCAATTTTTTTCAAAAATGTTATCTCTAATTGTAAAGATGGATGGATTAAGATTAGGAATGTATTCCACCTTTCTCTGTTTCTCAAAAGTGTTTTAAGATCTGTATTTGTGTTACAAAATCCACTAACACATTACATGCCCTCTAGTGCTGGAGGGCTAATTCTGGACAAGGCTGTGTCAGATCCAATCTTGATTGGGATTGTAATTTATGCACCTGTCATAAATGGTAAGTTCCTTACATGTTGTTTACAAGACCTCTTTAGTGTCTACATTTAGCAGTCTTCTTTATGCCCTTTATTTCAATTGATGGGCACCACTAATTGGCAGAGACACTTACTCTTATTCTGATTTGTCTATAGGGAGCTAATTTTAATTCTAAGATGGAGAGGCTAAAAAAAACAAAACACTTCCCATTAATATGTGTAACTTCCAAGGTCAGTAAAAAAAAAAAAAAAAGACTCATCAAATTAACATATTTATTGATTAAGGGGCAGATACAAAATTAATCGATTAAACTTTTGCTAAGAACCCAGGAATCATCTTGCTGCTGGTTCTTTGTAGACACATCCATACACATTTAGAGACCAAGCCCGTTATAAGTTCATGTTAACCACTATAAAGAAATAAGAATGATCTATATTCAAATGTCAAAAAAGCCTGGGTATACACTTGTTAGGATTATTCTCTTTGGGTTATGTGTGAGTTTGTGAAACATTAATTATCTCTTCCTATTGCATGTCAGAACTAATGTTTCTAATTGGGATGATTCCTCTATCACGATAAAAGGTCAACTTCATTCTGCATGTGGCAAAGATTTGGGAATGGAGTGAGAGCGGTGTCCTTGATCTAAAAACAAAGTGTAATTTTTGATAAGGCTGGAGTCATGGATGTCTCCTCATCTGCAAACTTGTATGATATAATGATGTGATGATGTGGCATAGTGGAGTTGTTTAAAACTGTTTCTTTAACTGTAAATCTTGGCCACTTTTTGAGATATGAGCCCAGTTGATAAGCGCTGCCTTCTGCAACGCAAAGCAACTTCCTTGTTCCGAGTTGGATTACAATTTATGTCAAAATCTGCTGTCATGTCTAATGGTTATTAAATACATACATCATGAAGTTTATCCCGAGTTATCTCTTTTCAGGAAAAAGAACTGGAGAGAGAAAGCTTCATGGTGTAGACACAGCTTTTCTTAACACAATGCAATCCAGAGAGGGATAGAAATATGGGTTGGCGATGGTAGAGACCTGTTGCCAATCCTGCCTTGAACATTTAACCTTTACTTGGAACAATGTTCCTTTTTTTGTGGTTCCTGCTACTGTCCTGATTCATTTACCTTACACCTATGAGTAGTGGTATGCCTTCCCTCTGCATTAACCCCATGACTACAACTCACTCTGGCCCTCTCAGCTACAACAACAACAATACTGTTATAAACCACATAATAGAACAAGGTGAGGGTCTGAAGGGGCCGAGAGACCAGAAGCACAGAGGATCTCTGGAGCAGGAGCTGCTGCCACTGTTGACATCTGATGGCAAGGAGCTTGTGGCAGCAGAGCAGGCTCAGTCACCGTCAGGGTACTATTGGACCTTGGCAGCGATGAGAAGTAGGATGAGGATGCATCAGTGCAGAGCTTGGTTGGCCCTTGCAGAGGAGAAACAGGCCATGTGAGAGTATACCTGGAGGTGTGGATGCAGAGGATGGAGACTTGAGCATCTTTTTGTTTAAAGGTTAGGTGGCAGATAATTGGACCATAGCTTTATATCCACAGTTGTTCAGTTATCATTAAAATCCTGAGGCTATTAGGCTTGTGTTTATAGGGATCAGTCTGTAAAGAATAATGTATTATTTTCTGAAAATAGAGGCATTTTTACTCTGTGGTGTCTATGCTCATCACTATGAACCAGTGGTCCAGTCTGCTTGACAAGCATTTAAATACACACTTTAACTCCTAATTGATTTGCAGGTGACCACCTAGAATATGGATAGGTATCAATCCTAGGACATCCATTTTAAAGCTGGAGGAGGTTGTTTTAGTCATGTAATGCGTCTTTTTGCAGATTATCTCTTAGGTTTTCATTAATTTAAACTTTAACTTCAACGTGGATATTTTGCATCAGTTAATTTGATATATATCCAACTTGATCCTTTCAGTCTGAACTGAATAGTAAAGTATCTTTTAATTATTACTTGAGAATGTACTATTTAAACTTGTGATTAGTGAATTAAGATATTTATTGTATGAAAGTGAAAATTAATGTAATAGATATGAATGTAATAACTTATTCTGAATGATTTCTGATGAGATCTATAATAATGTCTATAATGTTTGATTAAATGATATTTGTTTTGTCTTGTGGACCCCAGGAAGACTAGCTCATCCCACTTTGTTGACAGCTAATGGGGATCTTTTTAACATAAACAAGTCTTGCCTGTGAACTAGTATCTTTCGTCAGATGTGATTGCATGAAGTTCAGGAAGGGGCAGGGTGCTTCTTGATAACAATTATATGTAATATTTGTCCAGATGAGATCCAATGAGAAGAAATAAGATCCATTCTGCAGGCTCAGTGCTTACAAGCTTTGTCTTAGAAGAAGGGGGTGGTGATTGCTTTTGACCAGCTAAGTGCAGTACCAATAGAATACATCAGTGCTTCTAAACACAGAACTCCGATGATGTGTTTCTTACTGGAGCAGCAGAAGCTACAAAAGTGACAAAACGGTGGATTTTGTGATACTTGAATGTAATGTCAGAGATTCAAGACATACAAGGGGCTGCAGCTACTATTTGTTTGCAAAGATCTGGCACAAAATGAACAGACTGGATAAAGAAAAAGACAAAATAGTCCCTTAGTAATCAGATGTGAACCAGACAGGCTAATCTGGAGAGCATGAATTTATCTCCAGTGTTACAAACAAAAAGTATTTTATCAGAAAAGGAAACAAGCTTTCAGGCATCCACAGGCTTTCCTGACATGAGTTGCTCCTGTTCAAAGTGGAGACTATTATGGCCAACAATCTGATTTAGGGTACACATTTTAAAAAACAGATGATATAGAGTGGTGACCTGGACCTATCAGACCTAGTCCTCAATCTTAACATTGGTACATGACCGATAGCTAACTAAAATTTAGATTTATCTAGATATCAGTTCCACTATCTAATAGAATAGTAACAAATCAAGCAGTCATTTGTAAAAAATATGGATCAGGCTAACATTTCAAATGTACACATGAATATATTGATGTGATCACTTAGTTCAGTCTTACAGCTACTGAGTCCTCTAAGCACTAACCCTGACCAGTCAAGTGTCACTCCCAATGAAATCTCACTCGTGTGAATTTCTATTCCTACCACATGCTCATACAGAGAGAGAGCATATCCTGCTAAGTCAATGACTCAATGCATTCAGCTGGTTTTTCTAAGATTGAACTTGACCAATCTGACTGGATAATATGATTTAATGACATGTGTTGTGAATAGGCAATGTATAAATAAACTGAACTAAATTCAATTGTGTATAATCACATAAAATAAGTAGGGCAAGCTATTATAAACATTATTACCATAAGATTTTATGTATAATATTAGGGATTTGGTCACAAATCAAGTTGGTATGAAGTGGATGGAAGTTTTTTGAACTTTTACGGAAGTGGATGGAAGGCACTGATTTTCTCTCACTAATGAGCTGCTGTATTGCTAAGCTTTTTACATAATCCACGTAAAACTATTATGGTGCTCAAGTTGGCAAGAAAGATTGTTTTGCCTCTGAGTATTCATACTTCAGAAATACTCAGCTGCTGCACTCATAGTCTGTCAAAGGTAGCTTACATACCACATACAAAACAAAAACACAGCAACAACAAAAAGGAGGCATTTTTTATTTGAATGTAGGAGGAGGTGGGAAAAGGCTTTACATGAGAAGATGCACCTTAAAGAAAATATTTCCTTACTATCCATTAGATTACTATTCCTACTTAATTTCCTTATAAATCCTGATGCACAGTTTTTCTCAGACAATCACGTCAATCAGTTCTGGCACATGTTGGAGGGAGAACAAGTTTCTCACTGTTTTCGGAGAATGAAGAGGACTTTGATATTAGTTATTCTTTTTATCTAGCTGCTTACAAGAAGAGACAATATCCTGTAGTTCACTCGTGAAAAGGTTAACACTGTAGTGAGAAAGTTGTCTGTGTGGCTTTAACAATCATGTTTGTTAACAATACGTCTCTTTGGTTTTCCTGTTAAGGTGTGGGGGGAAACCTGGTTTCCATACATTCTAGCCGCATTTCCACACATCTGCATTTGAATTACTCACCCGGAGAGGTTCCAGATGGTCCCAGAAGCTGCTTGAACCCCTGTTACACTTTCTTTGGTTCAGGTTTTTGTCATTTAATTACTCATCTGTGTTATATTTCTTAATACCCGTTTGCTGGTGAATATAATCTTAGTCATTGATGATGTAGGAACCCCCAAAAAGGTTAAAAACAAAACAACTGAACAAAAATTATTTTGTCTATAATCCAAAAAGGCTTCTGATTTTTAGCTGGAGTGTTTTAATGCTTTTGTGTTTTTCTTTCAAATAATGTATCCTAGTAAAATTACTATTTAAATGTATATTCACTATTGCATGGATTAAATGTTAACCCTCTCTCTGACAGGTGCAAACCACAGATCCGCCCTGGTTCTTCTCATTTTGGTTCTTCCTGGTCAGCTGGTCTTTTTACATATTATTCATCTGATTAAAGGAGGTCTCACACTGCCCAGCGCTCTCTTCACTGTTTTCTTCCTATTAGCTTCTACAATTCAAGTAAGACATGCATGGAATGCAATTCCCAACTCAGTGCTTCACAATGATCTCTCTGTCCTTATTCTCCCTCAGGTCTTCTTGCTGCTGAGTCTGGCTGACTGCATTGTCCACTGTCTGTGGAGGAGGGGCAAAGACCCTGATAGCTACTCAATACCCTACCTCACAGCCTTGGGAGATCTTCTTGGAACTGCTCTGCTATCTCTTGCTTTTTTCTTGCTGTGGTGTATTGGTGAGCTTTAATATAGATCAATTCAAGATGGTACTGAAACAATTAGAGCCAGAGGGAAAGATAGAGAACAGCAATCCTATAGTTTACTAACCTGACAACAGCCAGATGCATGTCTCGCTCCGCCCAGCTCCACTCACGGAGCGAGACATGCATCTGGCTGTTGTCAGGTTAATAGTTTACAGTCATGAAATGCAAATTGCTTTCTTTAAAAGAAGGTCACCTTTGTAGTTTTGAAAAGTCTGACAAAGGCACAGCATCTTATTTCAGCTATGTTTCAAGTCTAGAAAAATCTAATAAAATGTGTAAGTTTCCTGAATCCATGCTTTATTCTCTTGTTTGAAATATATGAAATCCTTTTTGAAAGACATTTTGTAAAATCAAATTGCCATAGAAAATTTCCTTTATTATTTGACACATCACAACCGTCATATTTGTGCGAATCTCTTTAAATTCTGACATCAAGAGGTCACAATTTCTTTAAAAATATGTATTTACCATGACTGGTCAGAAATGGCTCCTAACCTCTATGCTTTGGATTGACAATGTAATGGAAAGTTTTAAAGAACAAAGAGTAAGAGGCAGTTTCAACAAAAAGAAAAGATCGACCTTGTTGTTATAAGTTCATTTTAAGGAATACTGTAGTATAGCGCTCAGACACACATTCAGCATTGAAAAGTGCCCATAGCCTAGACTTGACAGAATGTTTGTAGGGTTGGAGCAGATGGGAGGAGCCATCCAGACCTCTGGCATTCCAAGGTAATAAATCCTATGTTTGGGCAGCTGAGTTGAAGGGGGTCGGTTCTTACTAGGTCAACAAATTGTTCTACTAAGTTAAACTAAAGATAGCCAGACAGACAGACAGACAGACAGACAGACAGACAGACAGA